GAGGTTTGCTAATCAGCACAATTCAAAGGAGAAAGAAGTAATTGATGAAGTTACCTTGCATCAATTTTGTGCTACATCTGTTCCCAAGGTATTTTGGACTTCAACTTCCAAAAGGATGCTGATTGTTTTGAAGTTTTGTGGGGTGCACTATTTGAGTTTAATTTATGATTTATTGCAGAATGAACCTGGAAAGAGGAGCGAAGCCGGTACCGGATCTAGGTAGGTAGCCTCTTAAGGATATTCTTCAGAAAAATTGTTTTTAGTTATACTGATTTATTATTTTCTTTCAGCAAAGACTTCGTAATGAATGTTGGGGGTGTAGTCTGGGCACTAGACTGGTGTCCTAGAGTTGATTCTAATTTAGAGAATCGGATCACGTCTGAGGTAACTCAATGAGTATATTTATTTACCTTTTATTACTTTCATTTTGCATTGGCTGCCTCGATTATAATGCAGACTGTCTGTGTGATAGTGAACAATGACATGAGAACTGCTGTGGAATCAATCAAAAGATACATTATCTTGATGATGAAAACTTTTGTATAAAATTTGGCTATGCCTAATGTGAAATAACAGTAATTTGGCTTTTTTACTGACGTTGGTTAACATAAAACGTAATGAAGTGAGGTTCTGTGATTTGTGTCCATAGATGAAAACTGAAATACTTTACACCCTCTGTTTTTGTCAGTGGGTGATTTGCTTGCTCTAATGCTGATTGACTCCAACTGGCCAATTCTGAGACCTTGTGGAGTGTCTTCTGTGGATATTAAATCTTTTGTTTGAGAATTCCTGGACATCGTAATTTATATCAAGGGAACTTACTGGAATTGTGAGTCATGTAGTGGAATGATTTTTGCCATATGTTTTTATTTTTCTTTTTTTTTTTTTTTACAATTTTTAGCTGGAAATGTTTGCTACTTTTGAAAGTTCAAATGGCCAGCAGATAACGAAAAAAATAAATAAAAGAAGAAAAATGGAAATGGTAGTAGAGAAGTGATTCTAGGTTAAATAAGTGCTTTTATCGGTAGGAGCTGCAGAGCTGCAGAACTAAGTCATCACATCTACAGTCACTTGCTTCTTCATGAAAGAACCAACTTCTCGAGTTCTCGTATGCATGCTGTAGTTGGCCTTAATTTGATTTCTTTAGTTACTTCAGCAATGGTTGCTTTCCTGCATTTATTCTTTTGTCATGCCAACAATAAAGATGGATAAGTTTTTAGGCCTTACATATCTCTTACACAATATAAATGCACTCTATATACTGTTGTGCTCTTTATGCAAGTATTTCGTGACGAGTTTTCTTTTGAGAACCACTTATATTCCATCAACTGAGTTTTTTTTTTTCCATTCGAAAAATGTACATATTTTTTGTTGTATATTTACAACTTCTTATTTGTATACGTAATCCACTCTGTATTTACTTCTGAAATTATCTTTGCAGTTTGTTGCTGTTGCTGCTCATCCGCCTGAATCTTCATATCACAAGATTGGTGCTCCTCTTGCAGGCAGAGGTGCCATACAGATATGGTGTTTGTTAACTTGCCCTGTAAGAGATGATTTAACTAATCAAGCTAAGA